TAATTTCTTCACATTGCGAAATTTCTTTTCCTTTATGAGGAAGGGACCGCAGTAATCAATTCCCGCTGTTTCAAATGGACGAGTTAAGGTTACTCTATCTTGTGGTAAGTTGCCCATCAAATACCGCGGTGTCTTGGTATTTAATTTGCAACACCGAATGCAATTATGTATTATGCGTTTAATGGCGCCCTTACCATTTATTGGCCAGTATTGTTGTCTGACTGCGTATAAAGTGGCCTGTGTACCAGCATGCCAGTGACGTAAATGCGCTTGTCTAATGATCAAGTCAGTTACCTGGTGCCGGTGCGGTAGTATAATTGGGTGTTTTTGACCATACCTGAGCGGCGCGTGTTTTAATCTACCCCCGACCCTAAGGATACCGCTGTCGTCGATGAATGGGTTTAAGCTTAGTAGCCTAGTTTTCCTATTTAGCGGTTTACCCCTTTTTAAATTGTGTATTTCAATACTAAATGCTTCACATTGTGTTACTTGTATAATTCGATTGTGCGCGGCACGAATTTCTTGCGGTGACAGGGTTCCGGTGACTTTACTATTATCCTTTTTTATGTTATTTGCAAAACGTAGTATGTATGCGACTATTTTATTTAAATGCTCAATACATGAATATTTTTGTAGTAATCCTCCGACATTTGTCTGGGCGGGTAGGGCAATGACCTGTTTTTTCTCTGGTACGTGTATAGGTTCTATGTTATTAACTGGCCAAAAGGCACTATCCCTTGTTAGCCAGCACGGGCCGTTTAACCATAGACCATTTTGAATGAATTGCGACGGTAATTGACCTCTGGAGATGAAGTCTGCGGGATTGTCTACGGTCGAAACATGGAACCAATCTTGAGGGTCGGTTTCTGTTTGGATGTCGCTAACCCTGTTCGCTACGAAAGCTTTGAGCATGTGTGGTGGAGTTTTGATCCAGTGTAACGCGATGGTCGAGTCCGACCAAAATCTGACCTTATCGATATTTACGTTTGTTAGCGACCCTTTGACCTCCTTGTACAGATTGACAAGAAGTCTGCTTGCGCAAAGCTCGAGGCGCGGTAGGGATACTGTCTTTACCGGTGCAACGCGTGATTTCGCACACAATAAATGCACTGCGTGTTTTCCCTCCTTATTTGTTGATCTAATATAGATACATGCGCCATACGCGCTCTCACTGGCATCACAAAACCCGTGGAGCTGTAGCTGTATCATCTGTGTTGTAATTATTCCTCGTGGAGCCGAAAAATTGCTTAGCACATGCAATTCGTTTTTTATGTTTAACCATGATTGTTGTATTGGTTGGGGAACGTTGTCATCCCAGCCAATAGCTGCCTTCCATAGTTGCTGCATGATAATCTTGGCACTTATAATAATTGGCCCGAGTAGCCCAAGTGGGTCGAATAATTGTGAAATTTGTGAGAGGAGTGTTCTCTTGGTAATATGTGTTTGTCTCGAGAAGGGTTCGCTTTTGTAAATGATTTTATCGTCTAATGGATTCCAAAATATCCCTAACGTTTTTTTTGTTTCCGATGGATCTAGACACAGTGTATCCTGCTGATTTTTAGCTTGTAAATCAGTAATCAAACGAGTGTCATTAGAGGTCCACTGTCGCAAGTGGAAACCTCCCCGTGAAGCTAATGCGATTATTTGATCTCTTGCTTCGAATGCTGCTTCGAGGCTAGAAGCGCCTGTGAGCAAATCGTCCACATAAAAATCTCCTTTGAATATTTTTGCGGCTATTGGCAAATCTTTCGACTCATCTTCTGCTAATTGTCGTAAACATCGAACGGCCAGAAATGGTGCGGAAGCGGTGCCATATGTTACAGTGTTCAATTCAAAGGTTTTAATGGGTTTGTCCATAGATTCTCGCCACAGGATTTTTTGGAACTTTCTGTCGTCGTGGTGTACCTTTATCTGTCGGTACATTTTTTCAATGTCCGCGGTTATTACGTATGTGTGTGACCGAAATCTGAGTAAAATAGAAAATAATGTGTCCTGTATCGTTGGGCCTGTTAATAACGCGTCGTTTAACGATATACCTGTGGTGCCCTTTGCCGAAGCGTCGAAAACTACCTGTATTTTTGTGGTCGCACTTGATTCCTTTCGTACCGCGTGGTGAGGTAGGTAATGTCCTGTATCCAGGTCATCAGCTACCTCACGCATGTGCCCTAGCTCTAAATATTCCCGCATGAATTGTGTGTAGTGTTTCGAAAGTTCTGAGTCCCGTTGCAATCTACGCTCTAAGCCATAAAATCTTTTCAAACCAACGTTTTTCGAATCGCCAAGCAAATGCTTCTTTGTGTTAAATGGCAGCCTTACTGTGTATCTCCCTTGTGCGTCACGCGATGTATGTTTTGCGAAATGATTCTCGCATTCTGTTTCCTCCGCGGAGAGAAAGTGCCTTTCCGAAATCTCTTCAATTGTCCAAAATCGCGTTAATTGTTTGTCCAATGAAGTTGCTATATGGCATACGTGGTTTGACGTTTCTTTGAGAGGTTCCCCTTTGGGATTGATCTCTCCTGTGACTATCCATCCTAGTAGTGTGTTTTGTAGTGTGATGGACGTGTTGCCTAATTTAAAATTGCCAGTTCTTAAAAGGTCATAAAATAGTGTATTCCCGAGCAATGCGTCTATTTCTCTTGGTCTGTGAAATTCTGGATCTGCTAAATGTATGTGTGTAGGTATCGTGAGGTTTTCGCGGTTGACTTGTCGGATGGGTAGTAATCCGGTAATCGCGGGAAGCGCAATGAAATTGATTTGTGATTCGAACCGACTATTCATGGATTTTATTT